GACTGCAAACCTCACTAAAGGAAAAGGATCGGGGTTTGAGTTATCCCCGACCATCTTGAGGCGCAACATCAACTAAAAAATGTGCAGCATAGGGGCGCCAGGCAAACCTAAGAGCAGCATTCCGATACCTCAGTAATGAATCGTTTAAGACTCTCTACACCGTGGGTCGTACGTTAGACTACGTGCGACCAGCAGTAACAGTCTCGTTGATCAGGCCCTGATCCACTGGGAGGCCCGGTCGTGGACCGGGCCGCGGGGGCGTTGATCCCCGGAATGCCCTCCAGGTAGACCGTGTGCGTCAGGCCCATACTGGAGTATGCAGCACCAGTCTGGAACCCACACCTGGTCAAGCACGTCAAGAAATTAGAGAAAGTGCAAAGATTTGCAACAAGATTAGTTCCAGAGCTAAGGGGAATGTCCTACGAAAAAAGGTGAAGAGAAATCGGCCTGACGACACTGGAGGACAGGAGGGTTAGTGGAGACATGATAATGACATATAAAATACTGCGAGGAATTGACAAGGTGGATAGAGACATGATGTTCCAGAGATGGGACACAGAAACATGGGGTCACTATTGGAAGATGAAGACTCGGATGAGTCAAAGAGATGTTAGGAAGTATTCTTTAGAGTTGTCAGGAAGTGGAATAATCTGGCAAGTGACGTAGTGGAGGCAGGAACCATACAGTTTTAAGACGAGGTATGATAAAGCTCATGAAGCAGGGAGAGAGAGGACTCGGTAGGGATCAGCGAGTATGTGTATACACACACACACACACACACCTACCTCTCCTGGTGTGTTTACATCCATCACTCGTCTTGTTTGTGCTACCTCACTCCTTGCAACCCTGGCGCCAAATTTGTAAACAAAGCCAGTTTGACGAGGTGTGGTGCCTAGTTGAACTTTATGCAACAAGCATCAACAGCCTGACTGATCAAGCCGTCAACCAGATCGCACACCATGCACAAGAAAGAGGGATGGGGGGGGGGATATGATTATCTTAACCATTTACACGTATGCTACAGGTATTACCACTACCCCCGTCCCCTTAGCCCGTCCTAGCACCATATACACAGAGCATAAAGTAACGTAGTCTAACCTGAATCAAAACATTTACTCTGTACAGAGGTTGTGTATTGCCCGCATAGAACCCATTAAATATACAAACTATTGGGAACTATTTAAAGCACTGTTTTCCCTGGATCGAAGGAGATGTACCTCATAATAAACTCGTAAGATACCTGAGGGCCTGATCCACAATTTGCACATTGTCATAACTTAGTGGAGTGAAAGATATGGGAGACAGTGTAGAATTATCTCAATGAAGAGGAGGAGTTTTAATAATGTTGGCAGAATTACAGATAATATGTTAGGTAAAAGGACACAAGTGCAACTAATGCAGATATCGCAAATGTTGCCGGGGCGAAGGCAGGTTTATAAGGAAACTGAGCCACTGTCCAGGTGCCTGACTAGCCTGACTGTGATAGTTGCGTGGGACCGAGTGCCGTTAGCTAAAGCAACCTGGTTGACCAAGCAGTCAACAGGGATGCCTGCCCTCAGACTGGACTGCAAAACTCTCGAAACTAGTCACAGGAATGTCACAGGTATATGGCTCGAATGATTCAGCGGAATGTCTCACGGCATTCAGCGTTTGGAAACGCGTATAAGCGAAAAATTTATTCGGAAGACGGAATGTTGTATATCTTAAGAGAGACTCGTGTCCACTTAATGTTTAGACGGCAGCCAATATCAAAAAGCATAAGCTATTACAGAGAAGATAATTGTAATTTCACAGACACATGTTTAAGAACAGAACATTGAAGAATACCTATGATGAGTTTCGAGAGTTTCTCTACTCCTGGAGCCCGGCCATGGGCCAGGCTCGTCTGGTGCTTGCCTGGTCAACCATGCTGTTTTTGCTGGAGGCCTGCTGCCCCATATATCCATATTAGCTGCGCAGAATAGTTAATAATAAAAACGCCATCAGTTCACTGTGATAATCGAAGGAAGGACTGACTGTGCTGCCTCAACTACTTAAGACATGATATTCCTATTGTTGGATACAAGGGATTTACTGTTGTGGCTGAGACAGGCCCCACACACACACTGATTAAAATGAATTTACCATGCTATGCTGCTCCAGCTACCTGGGACAGTCTTCACGTTCACCCACCCGTTGCCAACATTTATCTACATAAATGCTTCCAGTGGTAACCTGATCCCTGAATGATGTTTTGGGGAATCAACGCCCCGGCGGCCCGGCCCCAGACCACTCCTTGTGAATCCAGGTCTTATCAACCAAGCTATAAATGCTGGTGCACGCACCTCAACGTACGAACCACAGCCCGGCTGATCAGGAAGGCATTTTGGGAACTTACGTCCCCTCTTGAAGATAGCTACGAGTTTAACCCCCTACCTTATGCATTATAAGGTGATGAA